TAACCAATCTCTATCAATGACGCCTAATGCACAACCCCAAACGCAGAATCCCCCGACGTATGCTGCAACAGGTTATCATTCTTTTCCTCAGCTGCAACATCACCAGCAAATGCAGTTGGGAGTTCCTCAAAGTGTCCTACCGGCACATCCGCAAGGTGGGGCTCACCAACAATCCCAACCACCAGTTCAAATGCAGTCTCAATTACCACAACCACCTCCTATGCGTCCACCTCAACCTCCTATGTACCAAAACCAGCAACATCCACCAATATTGCCTTCACCTAATCAGGTTCAAAATGTTTCTGCAGCACAGCAGCTACATGTACCCTCCCAGGCCCAACAACCTGGACAGCCAGCAAACCAGCGTCCTGTTATACAGCCAGTGCAACAACCTGCATCCCAGCAAGTTGTGCATCAACAACAGCATTTCGGACAGCAAGGGCAGTTTATACAGCACCAGCTGCATATGACACCTCAAATGCGTCCACAGGGACCTCCAAGTTCATTGTCACAGCATAATCATGGTTATGCGCATTTGCAGCATAATATCAATTTGCCACATGGCATGCAACATAATCCGTCTTATTCACAATCTATGGTTGGTGTTTCAGTGAGGCCAACACAGTTTGGTGCTAACCAACCAACTATGAAACAGGGACATGCATTTGGTAATAATAATAACCAGGTGCAGATGCCAGATGGTTTTGGTGAACGCAAAATGGAAAAGAGCCTGGATGGACGAGAGGGTGGATCATCTTCCCAAAAGGATGCCAAAAGAGCGGCAAATTATTTGGATGTATCATCTAAAATGGGGACGACAGATGCTGGTGAGTTGAAGACTGAAAAATCTATAACTAATTTGAAGGTGTCCAGTGATAAAGGTAGATATACTACTGGGGATAAAACTATTCAGGCTGATGCATCTGCTGAAAGTGCTCCACAAATGGGGGCAGTAGACTCTAATTTGCATGTAGGTGACAATGGTAAGCCTTCAATCAATCAGGTTGAGGTAAAGGTAGAGGCAGCAAAAAGTACTTTTGATCATTCGAGCAATGATAAATTGGGAGAAGTAAGAGTTCAGGACCAGAAAGATATTAGCACTGAACCTAAGAAAATGGAGGATCTTGCCATTGAGAATAAAGGAAGTCAGGAAGGTTTCCTTCAGAAGATTTCATCACAAGACATTGAACAAAGCGAAGAAGAAAAGAGGATGCTGACTGATGCTAGTGGGACTCTGCACCCTTCTGCAGATGAGGGCCCACAAGCTGTTACTACTACTACTACATCATCTTTAATCCCTGTTAGTAGTCCTGACAGTACAAAACCGAAGCTGTTGCATCAACATGGCTATCAAGATAAAAATTCCTCTCAAACTGACGGTTCTCAAAGTGGCACAGCACAGCCTTCTCATCCAGCTTCTCTAGTTGCTCATACAAGACATCAGACACCACCAAGTAGTTATGCGTCATCTGCACTTCAACAAGGTGCGACAGCATCTCTGTTACAACCACCTCCTCCAGGACCCTTCCATCATTCACAGGTTTCAAATAATCCTTCCATGCAACTTAGGCCTCGGGCTCCTGGCTTGGTATCTCATCCTGGGCAACCTTTTAATCCATCTGAACCGTTCCTTCCGGGTGGCATTCCTGAACCTGCTTCTGCTCCATCCTTTGGGAGGGGGCCAAGTCACTATGGTCCTCAGCAAGCCTTGGAACAAGCCGTTGGTCCTCCAGGATCTTATAGTCTAAGCCAACCACCTACTTCTCAAGGGGTTTCAAAGCTGTCTCTAGGTGATCCTGTTGGAGCACACTTCCGTGCAAAGCTTCCAGGGGCTTTTGATTCTAGGGTACAGCTGCATTCTCATGAAGCTCAAATTGGTGCTCAGCGTCCCATTCATCCTATGGAAGCTGAGATATTTTCTAATCAAAGGGCTAGACCTGATTCCCATCTTCTTGGAACAATGGAACATCGTCCACCACATCTACCAGGGATTCCTCCTAACGTGTTGACTTTAAATGGTGCCCGAGGTCCTGACTCCTCTTCCAAACTTGGCTTGATGGATGAAAGGTTTAAACGTGGGCACGAGGAACAATTAAATCCCTTTCCGCTAGATTCAGCTCGGCGTCCTATTAATCAAGCTGACTCTGAAGATGTTCTCAGGCAATTCCCGAGGCCTTCTCATTTGGAATCTGATCTCTCTCAGAGAATTGGAAATTATTCTTTGAGGCCCTTTGACAGGGGATTGCATGGGCAAAATTATGAGACTGGTTTAACCATTGATGGTGCTACTGCTTCAAGAATCTTGCCTCGTCATATTGGTGGTGTATTACATCATCAAGATGCTGAGAGACCAATTGGTTTTTTTGAGGATTCTATTGGACCAGCAGACCGAGCTCGTGGCCATTCTGATTTTCCTGTACCAGGGAGTTATGGTCGGCGTTATGTAGATGGATTTGCTCCAAGAAGTCCTCTTCATGAATATCATGGACGTGGGTTTGGAGGTCATCCTGGGTTTCCAGGGTCAGCAGATGAAATTGATGGTCAGGACTTCCCTCGTCAATTTGGTGATCCACTTTCATTCCGTGAGTCTAGATATCCTATTTTTCGTAGCCATCTGCATAGAGGTGAGTTTGAGGGTCCTGGTAATTTTAGGATGAGTGAACATGTAAGAACTGGTGATTTAATTGGACAAGATAGACATTTTGGTCCTCGAAGCTTGCCTGGGCATTTGCGTTTGGGTGAGCCAGCTGCTTTTGGTTCACATCCTGGTCATTCTCGAATAGGAGATTTGTCGGTGCTTGGTAACTTTGAGCCATTTGGTGGAGGACATAGGCCAAACCATCCTCGACTTGGTGAACCGGGGTTTAGAAGCAGTTTTTCTCGTCAGGGTCTTGCAGATGATGGTAGATTTTTTGCAGTTAAGTTCCAATGTCCAAATTTATACATATTTTCTTATCTTCCTGTATTTCTGTTTCTATCCCTTGTTTTCTGACTTTTGAAAACCTTCAGGGAGATGTTGAATCTTTTGATAACTCAAGGAAGAGGAAACCAGTCAGCATGGGTTGGTGTAGAATTTGTAAATTAGATTGTGAAACAGTTGAAGGCTTGGAGCTGCATTCACAAACAAGAGAGCACCAGAAGATGGCTATGGATATGGTGCAGAGCATCAAACAGAATGCAAAGAAACATAAAGTGTAAATATCGCATCCTATTGCTAAAACTGCTTCTCTGTTTTATTTTTTTTTAGTTTATGTTAATTATAATTCGATGTATATTACTTTCTCGTAGAACTCCAAAGGATCACTCCTCTGAAGATGGCAAGTCAAAAAATGTTGGTCTTGATAGCCGTGGGAAAAAGCATTAAATTTGCAACTCGTCTCATCACAATCATGGACTCTATTTTACTGGGTGCCAATTTTGTTTCCTTGGTATTATTGCATCTAGTGATATAGGTGATTCCCCTTCTATACTTATTTTCTTCATTTGGGTGGTTTATGCTAGTTCTGTTATTTCAGGTTGCTGCCATGTATGAACTATGAAGATGGTTTTTGGGGCTGAAGTTCTGTGGCAGTTAAGTTTGTTGGTTTTGTTTTTAGATTACAATATTTGGCTCTGGAATGGGTTCATATGGACATCAACGTCATGTAGTAGAAGTTTGGTATATGGCTATCACTTCATTGTGTTTATTGTTCTGATGGCATGTTCTTTTCCTCTTCCTACCTACCTCTTTTCCTCACACGACCTTTAAATGCCATTTAATCTGAAACCGTATTGGTACTTCAATCAACATTATGGGAAACATATTTTATTTTTCACTTGAGAAGATTTCTTTTGGGTGTTGAAACCAAATAAGATTGTTCGGGCTTGTGTGCCTTTGGCATTAGGGTAGGTGACTCTTGTTGTCTGGAAGAGAGAGTCCTTGAATGCATCAGTATTTGACATGCTAGATTTTGATACAACTCTTCATGTCTTGTATACCAAGTATCCTCTGTTCAAAGCAAAATTTCTCCAGGAAAGTGTTTTTAATAACCCAGTTTTATTATTTTTTTCACCTTTTTCCTACCATTTGTTCAATAATTGGGATGTATTTTTTCCATTATTGGCTTAAAATGGTGAAACAATAGAACTACGAGGCTAAAAGCTGAAGTGCCTTATTATAACAAATGGGCTATCTCTGAGTTCGGTTAGTCTTGAGTAGTTATTGCTTTTAAAGGAGTTTATACCACCCCCACCACCACCAAAACTCAAACAACAACAAAAATAACTTTAATTTCATTATTGTTCTGAGGTGTAAGAGAACTACCCACTGATTGTGTATATTCAAGTTGTCCTCGTATGCCAGCTTTTGGACTTCTGAAGCACTTACTTTGGAACGTATTTTGGTGCTTATATTGTTTTAATGGTGAATTTAACCAAGAACAGATAACTTTTTCATATCCTCCTTACATAAAATTGCAACATGAGTACAGAGTGAACTTATTGTATTACAGCTCCTAAACAGTGATCATTTTAACCTTTTTTCTTTCTATATTTATTTAATTATAGGAGTATGACACTTTTGTTAAGTTTGAAGGTGGCACTAGTTCTCTTTGGGGATAAATCTAGGATACTCGTTTGCTCAGGTTTCTGATAAAAAAAAGGATACTCGTTTGCTATGAAACTATGAGCACTCCCTCTTAGACATTTCCTCTATCATGTTTTAGGTGAATTAGATCTGAGCTAGGTATGAGGGGAGAAAAATTACATCGAGAGGAAATTTACATGCTGGTGTTGTGAATAACAAGGGATGAACGGAGGCAAGATATCTAAGAAGACATAGATTATTAATTTATAATTGTTGTCATTATAAAACGTGCCTATGTTATCCTCTTTTCATTATCAATGAAGAGGTTTCTTCATTTAAGAGTTTAGTTAAGTTATTCAGCACATGACCTTACTTGAACAGGATCTGTAAAATAGGTTGTACAACTGTGGTTCTAAAGTTAAGTTATTCAGCACTTCATGTGAAGAGAAGCTTGCTATAGGACCTGTTAATTTTGTGGTACATGTTGCAATGCCACCTAAGATATATTAGTGGCTTCTTTATACATAGAAGGAACTATAGCTGACAGCATTATGTCATGATTGGTGGTTTGGAAAGAAGATAAAATATTATGACTTTTATGATAAATAACCTGCTTACTTTTGTTACATGACCTAATGCCTCCGTTTATCTGGTCCAACAAATAGTAAAAACTGTCAGTTTTCATCTCCTTAAGTGGGGACGAGGGTTAATACTTCTCTTTTCCCAATTAATGTAGGATTTATGGGATGAGCTTTGTTTAAATTTCTGATTTAGTATCAAGTTTGAGGAGTATATTTCATCAAATCTGTTTTTACAGACTATTGTCAACTATTTATAGAGCAATCAAGCTAACAGCCCTAAGTAGCTAGCTGTAACAACTGAACTAACTGAAGTGGCAACTAACTAACCAAGTAACCGTTGGACAACTAACTAACTAAGTAGCCATTGGAATGAAGTTAGCAGTTAGATCAAGTCTGTTTACAAAGTATTTACAGCTTATATCCTCATCAATTTCATTGTTGAAATTCATTACCGTTTCCAAGTTTGTGTTCATAATGAATATTTGATGATTATTCCATCATAATTATTTAAGCTTCCAAGGTCAATACTTAGAGTTGATTTTATATTTTATATTTTTTTTTTTGGTAAAATTTCTTTTTCGTAATAGATCTTTCAATTCGACCTGTACTTTTCTTGGGCGAAGGAGACTACCAAAATGCTGAAAGTTCTGTGGAAAGGTTTATCAAGTCATCTTTGTTTGAGGTGGTAAGAATGTGTTTGATGTAAAAATGCATTAGTTGCAAATTTCTTTTGCTGTGTTTTTGTTTAATAACCTTACATTGATGTTGAAATTCTGTTCCTTGCACTATTGACTATTTTTTCACATATTTCATTACGCTCAGCTTCCAGCCACAATTATTATTATTATTATTTTTTAGTACAACAAGTGGGGTGGGGGCATTGAACTCGTGACCTCTTAGTCAAAAGCAATTACGGCTGAACTAAGCTTATGTGGGCTTCTGCCACAATTTTTATTAACCCTCGTGGTTCAGAAACCTTTTTCTTCTTCGTTGAGCTTCAGCTGCCTCCTGCTTGTTGCTATCAGCATAGTTTTGCTTCATAGGTTAACCTGCCAGTGTCAGACCTCAATCTTTGCTAAGCTATATTGCAGAAGAGTTCTGCCAGTTTCAAAAGCTCGTGTTTTGACATATCTTGTTTCTTTTAAATGCTTAACCTCTTTTTCTTCAATCGGCAAGTGAAATATATTACCCTAAAAAACTGCAACAGAGTGATATTAATAAAAGGGGTGATATTTTGCAGAAGAGTTCTGGAAGTGCTGTAAGAGAGAGGTCCTATGCACCAGCTAATTTATTCGTTCTCATCTCTATTTTTTTCTTTTTTGGAAATATATATAAATATATATATATATATATATTTATATTTATATTTATATTTATATATATATATATATATTTGTTTAGTAAAAAGGTACAGCCACAATCTATTAGTTTCCCATGGGAATTTACAAAGTTTTTAGAACTCAAGGACCTATAGGTACAACCAATAGGACAAATCTTGTTCAAGTAAGATCATGACCAACAAATGATAATTAGAAGAATTCGTGGTCCTCTTCCCAAGCCCATGCACTTCTCATTGAAAAGCCTTTGATATCTTTTTAACCATAGTCTCCAAGCAAACCACCACGTGATCCAAAAAATTTTTCCTTTTTCTTTTTCCTTTTCTTCGTCCATTTTTTTTTACCTACCCAAGTCTGGGGAGTCAACAAGTATCTAAGATGTATAATAAGTTTTTTAAAGACAGGTCTCTTATTCAACGAATAACTCTTCCCCCCTTCCAATTCTCCTATCCTCTCAAGAGTTTCCTTCTGCAACAATTAGGAAATTTTTTTTTTCCCTCTTTTGAGGGACTTGAGATCACCCTCATAGAAATCAATCATTGACGCTAATTATTTCGAAAGGACATTCAATGGTGCCTAACCATAGCAAGGATCTGAAAGTTTTTTGTTTGTCGAAAGCTTCCCCCGTTGATTTTGAGGTTCAAAAAGAAGAATTTCAAGAATTTTCAATGAAGTTTCATCTTTCTCAAAGGGTTATCCATTCAATTAACGAAGGCATTGTCAACGAGGCTTTAGAAGATTACTTTTCAGATTATTCAAAGGATCAGGAAGTCAGTCTTAGTAGCATAGAGTCAAATTAGGAAGTCAGTCTTAGTAGCATAGAGTCAAATTTAGAAGCAGGAAGCGACTTTGGAGATTTTTATTCTTTTCGTTCTTCCTTTTTCTCGGAAGATTCTGTCGACTTTTTAGACATTATTGAAGATCTTTCTTTTCTATT